TACTGCATGGAGCACTGGGTGTTATACGAAAACAATGGATCATGGATCACCACATCAAAAACCAATGATGTATTGTATGGTGACTAACATAACATAATAAAATAAAAAAATAAATAAAAATAGAATGTTTTCTTCCATTCAATGTGAATTTCTTCATACTGCTTTTACTTTCTGAACTTTTCACTTATAAAAATGAGGGCATACATTTTCTAATTCTAAGATTTTTGGTTTTATAATCAGTAAAATGAGGATGTTATATCCTACATCAACTCTAACTTTATTACCATAATGTACATTTTGGGAATCAATGACTACCGTAATCTTGACTAGAAGTAGAGTGTAACTGGATAAGATGGTCTCTTGAGATCCTGTTCTTTGATTCTGTCTAGTTCTTTGATTCTGTCTTGAAAGGCTAATGTATCTGAAGAATTTTAAAGTGATAATATTCTTGGGAGTTGTTACATATATAATTTTGGATTGTTGGGCTAGTCTAATTTCCTGGTATTATGTTGACTCAGCTTAGTAAATGAAACCTTGACTCTTATTTCATCAAATAACAATTCCAATTCTTATTCTATATAATTATAACATTATCTATCTAGTTATTTATGTCTTCACCTGTCTCCAATTGTGCATAGGTTACCCTGGAGACAAATCAACATGTTTACTTCCTAATATACTTGACTATCACATAATTGCTGCTAAGAAGTGAAGAAATTTATGATAATTTCAGCTAAAGAAAAATATAATCACCAAAACATATACTTAAGATGCTCAAATTCCAACTGCAATAAAAATAATCTTCGGTGCGTAGTATGTAGAAGAGGAAAAGTTAACAGTAACAGTAGAAAACCATTCTTGTGACAGAATTTGTAACTCTTCTCCAAGATGTTGAGTTTTTCACTCAGTCTTCTACACCTTTCCATTTAACCAAATGTTTCTCAGCTGCTTGTTCACACTTGCTTTCTTATAATCAGGCCTAGAATCTATACTCACATCTCTGTATAAATTGTGCTCTGATATATCTAGCTCCCCACAGTAACTGATAACCTAATAAATTCCCAGAAGTTTCTAATCTAGAATTATAACAACTTCTTAGAATTTTTTTTGGTAATGACCAATGATTCTGGTATTTAAATGGTTAATTATTGATGACAGAGAGCATACATTCTAGGAAAGGAATTGATTTATCTATGTGTAGCAAACATTTGTCATTTTTAGCTATCTGGTATCTTTTGTATAACTTCCCTACATCTTGATAATTTCCCATATTTTTTTTTTTTGCCTCTTTAAAGGAGAATCCAGAAAACTCACTTTTCTAGACTCCTTTGGCCATAGACTGAAAGCAGGGAATCCATATTCTGTCATTCACAATCTGTAAGACTGATCCAAAGTAAGCAACCTGAGTAGGTAGCATCCATTCTTCTGGAATGGGTGGTAGCTGGGATTTGTAGCATTTGGCTTTAGGAGGAATGTCTTTAATGGGCCAAATCTTGTGTGTTGCTGGATACACAGCCTCTCCCCTGTTTCACTAACCCATTTAATGAAACTATGATTTCCCTTGTATTCTTTAACAAATTGTTTCTCTACTTAGATTAGGCAGAATGCATTTTGTTAGTTGCAAATTTAAAATATTTGAATATTAATTTAAAATATTCAAAGATTTGGGGGTGCCTGAGTGGCTCAAACGTTCAACTCTTGGTTTTTGGGTCAGGTCATGGTCTTAGGGTTGTGACATAGATCCCCATAGGGGCTCCAGGCTGGTTGGAAAGCCTGCTTAAGATTCTCTCTCTCTCCCTCTGCCCCTCCCCCCTTAGCTCGTGTGTGTGTGTGTGTGTGTGTGTGTGTGTGTGTGCGCGCGCGCGCGCGCGCCCACGCACTCTTTCTTTAAAAACAATTCAAAGATTTTTATCAAAATGCTATCCACAAAGGTTTTAAAAGTGAAAGAGTTATAATAAACATCAGACACCTCTCTACCTTTGCTCCTTTCTAGTCCATTACCCAGACACATTTGCTTTCAACAACTTTAGTTGATTTGTCTGATATTTCCCCCCTCCTCCATATACAAATTATACATACATATAACTTTTTCTTTATCATATGTAGATAGTACCTATTGATTATATATTTCTCTTTTATATTCACCTCTCTTCCCTTCCTCTATCTTCCCAATATCTTTGTAAAACATTTGCTTAAATCATTGGTCAGTTTTACCATGTAGATATTGTGTATTAACAAATGAGGTAGATATTATTATACTTTATCTTTTTTCAGTCTTTTGCTTACTTAGAGTTAATTGCTTTGCTCCCATCTTTTTTGTTTGATCTTCAATATACCTTTTCAATCTACCTCTGTCGGATCACTCAAATACTCATTACTATCTTTTCAAATGTTCAAAAAATCTGATCATTTGGAGATTTTACCCCTCTGCCTGTTTCAGTCTGTACTAGCTGCTTTCTAGACTAAGGCATGGCTGTCCTGGTGGGTCTCCACTTTTTGGCTTTCTTGTTTTGGATCCCCTATTTTAGGCACCAGTCTACCTTTTTCTTGTTTTACCACCACATTTTACCAAGCACATCCTACAGTGGCTTCCTGAAAATGCCACATGGGATTCAGAGTCCCTGCACTTTTGTACATTTTGTATTCACTCCTCATGCATCAACATTTGAGTTAATATTGAATATTTTTCCCATAGCATTTTTCTATGAGCAGCACTTCTCTTTTTAATATGAAATAATTTTCTCTTGTGTTTTAATTCATTTGATGCAAATTAATTATTAACTCATGGCCATTACTAAAGTGAATATAGCTGGCATATGCATTTTTAGGTGAGCATTTTCATATCTGAATATATTTTGCCACCACTAAAAGAAACTAAATACAGTGTGAACTTTGTGAAATATCTTATATATCATCAAAATAATGTGAACAATGTGCATTTATCACTTTTTGGTTATCTTCTTCAAGACCCAAGAATATTTGGTGAACTGTAAAGAATAATTGGACTTATGACTTGATATCTGTTGCCAGTTGGAAGAATTAGACCTCTGCTTTACATATTATCATTTCTAACACAGTCTACTGGATAAATGCTAAGATTCACAGGTGTATGATGATTTTTTTGTGCTATTGTTTACTACCATAAATCCTGGCTTCTCCCATTAATACAAAGACCTTTTGAAATCGAAAGTCCAAAAACATGAACTTTAAGATTTTAACATTAAGATAAAAAATGATGTAAAAAATGTTAAGTACAATATAAAAGGTGGTTTCTATGAAAGTCAGCTTAAGCCCTCTAGAAAATTCTGGGCCAAGCTATAAAAGCATCTCTATGAAAAATAGCAACCCTGAAGTGTCTAAATATTTTATTTTTAGATAATACATCACTTCTGTATTCTGACATAACCTTATGCAGTATTGTCCACACAGGAGGCGCTCAATAAATAATGGTATGTGGAATAAATGAATGAGAGATGTAGTAAATGTTTAAATAAGAAAATTCAGAATTTTTTGCAGTGGAACCCGTGTAATTATGTAAATTCTGCCTTAATGGTAAATTAGGAAGTTTCAGTATCTAAAAATTTCACTTTCCTGCTCTCTCTGGCAGCACATATACTAAATTGGACCAATACTGAGCAGATTAGCATGGCCCTGCACAAGGATGACACGTAAGAATTTCACTTTCTCCTCCTCCATTTTCTTCTCAATGTTTTACTCGGGCACCAAATTATATGTCTTGTCACCATCTCTGCCACTTGATTGTTAACTTTAGGAGAATTAGGTCTGTGATTAATTTACTTTTGTCTTTACCTCAGCAGCTACTGTTTTACTTTATACACAGAAGGTGTTCAATCAGTATCTGTAGGGTTAATTTATTAAGTGAATCTTTGATTGATTATCTACCAATTTCAACAGTATGATAGTACCTTCCCAATAAAGGAATGAGACATTGAATTTGCATGGAAAAAACATATTAAAGTAAACAGTGGGACAATAATATACAGGCAGCCTGGATAAATAGGAGGACATACCTTTCAAGAAATTCATCTACAAATTTCACAATAAATTAATGCCTTTGAGATCCTTGGCAGACACCTTTAAGTAATAAAAGGAGAATATTGACTTTAACCGACAAGGGGCTTCATTAGGGCCCTGATCTTGTTAGGATTAAAATAATACTTTGATAATAGCTATTCAAAGAATTTAATTTCACAAAAGCCTTTTTAAAAAAACTGGCCTTTTGAAGCCTATCCATGCAAATACTTGAAGTTTAAGAAGCATTAGAAAGTTGGAAAGAGGGGTGACTGGGTAGCTCAGTTGGTTAAGCGTCTGCCTATGGCTCAGGTCATGATCCTAGGGTCCTGGGATTGAGACCCACGTCAGCCTCTCTGCTCAGTGGGGAGTCTGCTTCTCCCTCTCCCTCTGCCCCTGCCCCCCTGCTCATGCACTCTCTCTCTCTCTCTCAAATAAGTAAATAAAATCTTAAAAAAAAGAAAGTTGGAAAGATAACTTTTTCTTCATAACTAGAGAAAAGATGAAAAAATGAATAAAGGAATCTGAGTAAACATAAATATGTTAATTTGAGGGAAAAGTTAAAAACCAGAATGCTGAAGGATGACTTAGGTCTTGAATCCCTGTCAGGGAATTTAATTAATGGGAAAGCCACTTGAGATTTTCCAGTTCTTTCATGATCACATTGTGTTCGCTCATCTAACGAGTAGTAGCTGTATATAATTTCTTACAGTAACACTGAAATGAAGCATCACAAAGTTCACCTCTAGATTAGAATACCAACTCAAATTGCCATGTTTTCTTGCTTACCTCTTTCTCTGAATCTCCTTGGCTGCTAGGCGACATGCAGATTCCTTGAGAGCAGGGCTTGCTTACTTTGCAGAAGTCTAAAATCACGCCACCGCACCCATGGCATTTAGAAGTATTCTTCAATGTTGATTAAAGTGGGACTTTTTTCTATTCATTACAGATTTTCTATTCGATTACTTACAACTTGCTATTATATAAATCAGAAGTCTACTGGTTATGAAGTTTTATTAGCTTTTGAACTGTTTGGGAGACAATGAATGTTGTCCCTGGATAAATAAGTCAGAAGACAGAGGCAATGATGGAGGGTCCAGTCCTATTACAGCTACCATTTGCTTTCCCTTCACAAAGGGAATCTTTGCACCCTGACACAATCTCCTCCCTGTGTCTATTTCTACTTAGATGAGATGCAGACATACATGATTGGTTCAGTGCAATTTGTCAGAAGGTCTGAATAAGCAGCTCTAGTATCATGACTCCGGGTTAATAGTATAAGTTTTGTAGAAGGACAACAGTTTACCAAGGCCATGGTCACACTTATTGAACAATAAGGTCAAATTTAAAGCTGAATAACTCCTTTTTCAGTCTACTGGCTGCTTAGAAACATTCCAAACCTGGAAACTAATATATATTTTGTGTACTCTGAAAATTTTGTTTCTTTCCTCCCTGGACTTTTACTAAAAGGGCTGAGAGGCAAATACATTTATTTATTAATAACTCATCATTAGTAAAAAATCATTTATTATTAAAAGCATTTCTCTTCACGCTACTCTGCAAATTATAAGACAACATCAACTTTAGAAAATTAGTTACATCTTTCTAATTACTCTGTTCCAGTAAGCATGTTGTAAGGCTTACTTTTGATAAGTAAATTGGTAGTAAATTGTTGATAGACACTGAAATAACAATTTTTTAAAATTAAGTACTGGAATAACTTAAATGAGTGAAAAAAGACTACTATAGTCCAAATGATATGGATATCTGTTATGTTCAAGTTTTAGACTGTTAAATTATGTTTCTAGGATGATCAAGAAAATAAAAACTAATTTTTTAAATCATGGCTCTTCTGATTAAGATAATTAATGTCAGTTATAGGAAATTGGAAAAGCAGAAAGTTACAAAGAATAAGACTAAATGGCCGACTCATATCTTCTATTAGGAATTTAATTTGGTATAACATTTTTGGAGGACAGTTTAGCAATACTATTTTTAAAAGCATATAATCTATAACCTAGCAGTTACCTTCCAGGAATTTAAGAAATAACTGCCTCAGTAAGGGAAGATATATCCATAGAGACAGTCTTGAAATATTTCTCTTAATAGCAAAGAACACAATCAAAATAAGTTCATTAATAAGAGTATAGCAAAACATGTTATGGGTTTACATTAGTTAAAACTTGATTCATTCAACAAGTATTTGTTGAGAACCTGCTATATGGTAGGACTAACCTAAGCACTTGGATATGGCAGAAATGAAGAACTCTTTATCCAATGAAGCTTATCTGTGGAAGGAACTAGACAATAAACATAATGAAGGACTAAATTATGTAACATGTTTGGAGGTGAGCAGTGTTATACAAACAATAAAAAGAATGATGTAGATATATGTGTACAGATCTGAAAATATGTCCACAGTGTATTTGTAATTAAAATAAGTTTGTACATATATATCAGGACTCCTTTTTATAAAAAATAAATATGTATGTGAATGTAATGTAAATATGCATAAATATGTCTGCATAAACTTGGGATAACATCTACAAAGACCATTTCAAATTGTTAATATAACATAACGAGTCTAGTGTGAGATGTGGGAGGGGAGAATACACATCAGTGTATATACACATTGTGGTAGATTTACAGGTGATTTCTTTTTTCTTTTTATATATTTTTAAAGTATTTTTCAAATTAAAAATAATAAAATTCTTTTTATCACTATATTTTATCAGATAAAATAATTTTAACACTTTGATAGGCATCTACTCAACATTTATTTAAATCTCTGATAACAATGAAATAATCCATGGTTCTTATAATTTTGAGAACTCAACATCATTTTTAGTATTGAAGTAAAGTTATGGACCCTCTTGCAAAAAGCCTGCACACACCAAAAGGGGATTACAGTGATTGATTTTCCAAAGCATATCTGGTTTAGAAATGCTGCTATGAAGTAAAGAGACTAATTTTCTTTTGAAAAACAGACAAACCCCCTAACTTTTTTCTTTATGTTATAGTAATATCATTAAAAGAATGATATTTAATAACAAAATATGTAGCTCGAACTTATATTATTTTTCTATATTTGGAATTACACTCTCAAATATCTATTTATGCCTCACAAATTTACTGAGTCTTAACTAAACATTAAAATAGTTCTCAAATAATTTTGGGTACTTTAATGTGGGAAGTTACCTGCCCTCCCCTCCCCCACAGCCCCGTATATGAAGATGTTCTGTACATCATTATTCTGATATCAGGATTAAGTCTGCATTTGATTTATTGATATGCCACTCTGTTCAGCTAGCGAAGTATTTTGAATGTAATGTGCTAATAAATAATCAAGATACAAATTAAATGTATATAAAACATACAACTTTTAAGTCAGCATTCTTTTTAATGATAAGCTAAGGTGTTTTGTAAAAATAATGGATAAACCTTCATTCCAAAAATTAGTAATGTTTCAAGAATGATTAAAATAAGAATGTTGCTAGGATTCAAAATTTAAAGGGCAACATGAAATGACTCCAGTTAGAATAGATTTATATGTAAGGTAAGGAGAGTTGAATGAGACTTTAAATAAATTTTAAACTTAATTTTCTTAGCTAGGAATCTCAGCTATCAAAAGTTGTTTATCATAGTCAGGTATTTAATAACTATTGATTAATGATTTTCTCAAAATTATGTCTTAATTTCAGAAAGTCAAATAGCTTAGTGACATTTTCACTTTGCTGAGACGGTATATTCCAATTTCATTTCTCCATCATTTTTATGTTTTGAAGACGTTTATTGCAGACCATGAATCTACCTGACATTCTCGACTGCTCTGGTCATTCAGTGGTGCATTTCTTTGAATTCTAGAGATCTTAAAATACTGGTACAGTTTTAAATTTGATGGGAAGGGAGGATCTAGGAATGAGTGCCGCCCTTACTCAGTAGCAAGGAGAATGAATCCATGGCAATCTTGGTGATATCATGAAACATAAATGGAAATTATGAAGTGTTTGAGGTAAAGCTAGCTTAATGCTATATGGGTTAGCAATTTTTCTGCTTCACTGCTTCACTTATTTATCTTTAGATAAATACCACCTGGGAATAAATGGTGTTTTGCTTCACATATGCACAGGTACACATTACAATCAGTCGATGTTAGAGTCTGGCTATCAGCCATGCTGAGTATTAGCCCATAGCGGGGATTAGGTGACACAAAACTATTCAGTCCATTTTACAAGTGTGATTTTATTCAGGTGGTTTGGCTTGTTTGTTTCATGAGTACCATCTTGGCTCTGTTAGTTGGCAGGAGTATTTCAGTTTTACAGTTAACTGATAAAATTTTAAATGCCATATTCAGGAAACATTTATAAGAATGTTCCCTGCTATCTCCATCATTATCCACCCATCATCAAAACTTGACAGGTGGCCGTGTGATGAATACTTTAAAGGACTGAGAAAGTTATCTTTCACTAAGATATGCTACCATTGGGATAAATCAGATCTTGAATAAAAACCAAAGCCTTAATTCTGAATGATATTAGGAATATTACTCATATCCTGGGTGTGACAAAATATCTTGGATAGCATATTAATGAATAAGTTTATTATGGGTTACTGGAGAAGATTCTGATTTTTTTTGAGATTTTGCTTTACCTGATCTCAATAAC